ATGTTCACATCTATCATAAAAATATAATCAGGTCATATACGAGAAAATGACTAGACAATACTCGAGAGAGATTGTTGAATAAAATATGAACATCGATTCTTCAAAATTTAATCAAATTGTCAAAGTATAAAACTAATGTTATAAATGATTATTGCCTGAAGATTCGCTAGCGCATTTGTCATTCATTCAAATACGTCAACTTTTATGTAGCATAATTTACATTTAGTTAGTTAAACTTACTCATAATTGCATAAGTAATTTATTTTTGTTATAATTTTGTCACAAATAAACACATCTTATTGTTTGTTTCGATTAAAGTCGCAATAATAAAAAATGATATAAATCAATTTCTGTGGGAGAATAATTGGATTCACTTTCACTTTATTACTTGTTAACGAATCATACGCTTGCGGTGATTTTAATTCGAAATATATTTTTGTGAACAAAAATCATTTAAAGATACAAGTGGAGTTGTCATTTAAACATATATAACATTCAAAGATGTTTGACAATGAGTTCCATGATTAACGGCTCGCATTTCTTCCTTTTAATCATGAAGATAAAACATAAATTCAGTTGAACATGGCAAGAGCATTCAAATTCAAATCTATAACTTCAGTAGGTTGTGAGTAGAGAATGTCAAGAGTCAAGACTACGAGTTTTGCATAGATTTAAAAGAAAGCTTAACAAACAATATAATAATCGATTGTTTACAAGTGAACGAGGCAAGAGCCGCCATAGCCAAGTTCCAAAGGAAATGATTTGATCTACACAGAAAATGAGCAAAAGCCAAGAAGTGGGCAATGAATGAGTACCTTTAGTCGGGTAAATGCCTTTGTGCACCTTGTTATTTGGCGTGGCTGTCAATGGTCTATTGCTCAAGAAGCAGCCAGAAAGTAAGATCTTTCTTCAATATCATCGTTCTACTATTCTTAGTTTGCAGCTGCGTATGTATGGATGGTCAGACTTCACATACTTCGTCCAGTATGGCCTGTACTTCGTCATAGCCAACTCTAGCCAGGGTTTCATGTTCCCGTTGTAATGTACAACAGCTGCATTCTCAATTTCTGACCGATCAACAGTTGGACTGTAACCCAACCCGAGCACGTGCCACGACTTATCAAGTGGATGTGTAAGCCCATAAAAAGTCATTAAACCAGGAGGGAGAGTTCCAAGCTTCCACAGAACCCTGTCTTCATTCTAATACCATGCCAAAAATAGGGGAAATAAAAGGAACTCAGAATATTTGACAAGCATGTTTCATCTTCTAATCCATAAACTATTTTTCAGAAAGGGGATATGCCAACAAGTTTCCCAGGATACCAAATGCATAATTTCACAGACAACACAACCAGAATACAAATCAAAATTAGCAAAAAAAAATAAAAATAAAAAAAATGACGTACCATATTCTGCCATTTGTGGTATATTCCAGTTATATCCTTCTCTTTCCACACCTTAAGATCAAAAATGTTCATTCCATACGCCCACCCACAAGCATTGGGATCAAAGTTTGAAGAAATATGAGGATTTGAAAAATTAAGGTACTTGTCAAAACGATGAAAGCTCTCGCCACAGGTTTCAACTGCACCATTCACTTTTCCATGAAGATCTACTGACCACAATCCTGTTAAGTCTTTCTGAACAACAATGTCATCGTCAAGAAAAAGGATTTTATCCAACTTGGGATAAACCTGTGGAAGATAAAACCTCAGGTGATTGAGCATTGAAAGATACTTCGGGTTCCTGTACTTAAGGTTCGATGAACCAGCAGAAAGTGTGGTAGGATGAGCTGACTTGAAGTAGTACTCCTTCATGGCAGCAGATTCCAACTGACGCAAAACAGGACAATAGGACGAATTAAGCCACTTGAATTCATCAACATTTTCAACATGGATGGTAGCTTTTCCAGGAGGGTTCAGCAGGAACCACATATTCATTGCCCCAAAGTTCAACTTATCAGTAACTAGATGGAAAACATGTTTCCCAGGTTCCTGCAATTCATAAAAGAAGCATATTCAGAAATCCAAGATTTTTCAATGGAAACACAGAATAATAGTTGCATCAATGGACAAGGCTTGAAGAATCCAAGTTTACTGTTACTAATGGAAGAACCGTTACAAGATAACAAGTTAAAGAATGTCTCTTCTGATGGCAATACCATCATCTAAATTAACAAAAAATTCCAACTCAGGGGAATAATACTTCAAATAGTCTAGCCATTCCTTCCTCATAGGATGCACATAGCAGACATGAACACTTTCTGCGAGTGGGGCACACAAATAATCATGCATATTCTCAAGCCACTACAAGAAAATGGACCTATAACATCTGATAACTTGGATTGAAGGTAGATTTTATTTTGCTTTACAGATTGCATTGCTAGTATTTTCAGTTTAATTGCATTGCTAGTATTTTCAGTTTAATGTCAAATTTTTTTTGAGAAATCAAAGACAAAAATTGACTTCCGCACCTTGGCGTTTGCAATGGTTGAGCTGACCACAACTGAAGCAGCAAGAACATTGTCAGAAAAGAGAGCATAATGGTAAAGATTAGGATTTTCAAGATTCTCACTGCGAGGGAACTTCCTCTTTTCTGGTGGAAGGAGGTAATACTCTATTGTTAAGCGCATGGATAAACAGTGAATTCCATTTGGAATTGTCTTGGCAGCTAGCTGGCTAAGGAATGTGCTTTGCTTTTTTAGACTCCGGACTTGCTCATCCGCAGATTGCAGCATGGCTCTTAGCTGTCCAGTTACAAGTTTGCAATCATACAATTGTTCTCTACCTTTAGACAGCACTTGTCCCATAGCTTTTATTTTTTCAGGTGCACTGTCACATGAATGATGTACATGGGCCAAAATAATAATAATAATAATAAAATATTTAAAAAATCAAATTATAAGATGAGTTAGGCTTCAGGTGGCTATACATAACACACGAAATAACCATAATTTTACTACCTGTGATGTAAATCAGAATCAGCAGTTGCCTCTCCTAAAGCACGCTGACTTTCTTTAAGCCGGTTTTGAAGCTCATGGACCAAGTCAAGCTTATTTTTCATTCTTGCAAGGCTTATATAAACTCTTGCCATGATTACTTGATCTCGCATCAAGCGTACAGTTGAATCAGAATTTTCATTTTCATTCTCCCTCCTCCATATGCTATACTTCCCCAAGACCGCAGAGTCAACTGACTTGGAACGTTCAATGGCAGCAGTTTCAAGTTTTACGATTACATCGTCATCTTGCTTTACCAAATCAGCAGCACGCTTTTCACGTCTTTTTTCTCTCAATTTCTGTACAGTGCTTAAACAGATAAAATTGTTAACTCAAAAGACTAGGAGGAAAGGAGTAACGAATCCAATTTGGGGTTTATGCAAGTTCTAAAAGATATCAATTTTATTTGTCTACAGTTACAATAAGGAGCTGGCTCCTTACCAGAAATGCAAGGGGAAAACAACATAAGTGATAGCATTAAATTAGATTGAATCAGGGTGCTTACCCTTCTCTCCAGTTTAGCAGGCGACTCGAAAAAATTTGAATGATCTTCTGCACGAGTCGAATGCATCATCCGATCAGTTAAGATTCATCCATTAGAGAACTATTTATGGTATCAACAGAGTTTCTAGAAAAATATTACCATGAGAATTATCTTCCTGCTTGCCTCTAGAGGTTTCTCGTTTAACATTTGCAGCCACTTCTTTTGACTTAAAATCACAAATACAAAGATAATGAATCAGTGCCTACCTTTGATAAGATGGTTTTTTTAATCATGAATAGAGTCCAATAGCATGAAGTTTAAGCTACAATCCGACAGTTATCCTAACCTGAGCAGAAGTGGTATTTTTCCCAGCTGAAATTTCTTGACCAACAAAGTTCCACGATGAAGACAGATTATTCTTTCTGAAAGAATCAAGACTCAGGGGCCCTAAATCATCGGTGTAGGCCTTGATGACACCCATTACCTAAAGCATGCTCCAAGTAAGAAAACAAGCACACAAAAATAATAAAATAGTTATTATGTCAACAAGAATGTCCATTTATAACTTGCCTCTCTTGAGAACAAAGGTTTGAGATGTTGCAATGCCAGCCGCTCTCTCCAATTAAGATCCTGGACCATGTGGTACTTTCTTATATAGTAAGAATAGTATCATAAAGGACCCAAACTACTATCCAAATGAAGTATGTTCCAAAGACATTACCTGCTTACTCGAGCTAGTTGAAAAATCAATTTGATCTGCAGAAAAATGGATCAATTAGTTTTCTATTATTTCAAATTATGCTCGATAGACATTTGAAGTGTATTGGACACATCCATGTATTGATAAACTGTTAAATTAACGTTAAGTGATAAGTAGACAGTAGTGTCACAACTGATTTGCAATCTTATCCAATGAAACTATCTACTTTTTTTACAAAAGAGATAATCTAATGAGAACCTGTATGCCCTTGAACCAATCCTGCACGTCAAATTTTTCCTCTCCATTCTAAAATTCAGTTCATTATCAATCCCAACTGCAAAGTCCATGTGTGCTTTGATGACACACTATTATAGTAATTTCGTATACGTGTCACCTTTAATCTCGAAAAAGAACACAAATGCTACTTCAGACAACCTCCGAAATTCAGGTTGTCTTCACTCCACCTCAAACAAGAACTCTATAATAAACAAGACATTGAACAAAAGGGAATTGAACATTAGACCTGTCAGTTCCCTTCAAAAATTTAGCTTCAACGTGAATAAAGAAATGTTCATGGTAAGAGGGCTGTATACCACATAATAACAAACTTTTTGGACCTTAGCAATATTTCCAACTAACACCAAGCAATATCAGCTCTGTACTCCGAAACTATATGACATGCCAAGTATATAGAGTTCTATAGAATTCAGCACTCGTCTTGCCCCACTCCCTGTTCGGTTGAATTTCGATAACGATATTTAATAAGAAAAACAGATTGTGTAACTTTTCAACCACTTTATTCCTTAATCACAATGAAGCTTATTAATCAAGACTATCACAATTGGCTCACGACTAGGTCAGGTCATCCCAAATACTCAAAAATGCCTAAAAATCTAAATACGAAAAACTGAAATCCATCACATAAACTCTCTTCCCGAGATCTGTAAGATTGTAGTAATCAAACCAAAATAAAATCCCCGTGCATTTCTCAACTGACCATTGGAAGCAGATCTCAATAAACCGCGGCCGACGAACAAAATGGAGAAAACGAGAAATGAGAACAAGACGAGTACAACAATAGAAAAGTGAGGTCCATTGCTTTTGTTCCTGTGGATGATTCCACCCGATAATCTCCTCTTAATCGCCATTTCGTATCATATACCTACAAAATTACACAGCCAAAATAAACTCAACCATTTATATCTACAAATACATATACGTATAACTAGTATGAGAGAGAAAGGAGGGCAATACCCAGAGAATTCTGATAGAGATTCGGCTAATTGGGTTTGAATAGTTGAAGATCGCAACAAAGCATTTGAAGATTGATATATAATTATATGCAGATGTATCTATTCTTCTGTTGTATATTTCTTTGAGTGTGTGAGAAATGTAGGAAGAAGTGCGTGGAAACAAAAAAACCGGACCGGATCTGAAGAATTCGTGTTCTTTCTCTTTTTTTCGCAATGTATTTTCGTGTTGTTTGTATAGGATAAATTACTCTGTGGTCACCAACCTTTCATAAGCATGACAATCCTGTCCTCAACCTTCTATTTAATGTACTCATATCTCCTACTTTTGACAATATATACACGCCATCGCCATTTGATTGAAAACGTCTATTTAAAGCCGTCGTTGCCACTAGTGTAAAATAAAAAATTATTTTTTATTTTATTATTATTAATTTTTTTTTTTTTGGGTTCTACTAAACTTGCATACTTTGTTTTTGAACAACATTCAAAGGAAACGAAAAATCTAAAATTTCTTCCAATTAGGGGCGTTTGTTTTTTCATTTTTTTGTAAAAATGAGAATGTAAAATATAGTTGTTATTGATCCTATACACGAGATAGAAATTCAAATTTGATGACTTGATGTGATGGATAACTGTCTCATTTTTCATTTTAATGGGGAAAGAATGAAAAACAAACAGAATTATTAGCACCAGCTTATCCCTGTTTGGGAAGGATTTTTTATCCCAAAAAATTAATTTTTTGACCGTTATTTCACCATTCCAATCGTAATTTCCCTTACGGGTGGATTCCATTTTTCTTCTAACGGTCAAAAAATCAATTTTCAAAATCTCTCCCAAACGGACCCTATATAAATGACAATCAAACTAACAAAGGGGGTCATAATGACCAACCAAGGGCAACTCTCGATGGAAAAAACAAGTCTTCACGGAGTCGTACGACCATGTTTGAGGATTAAGATATATTCAGTATCGAAAGGTCAAAAAAATTGGTGACTTGATGACAGAGAAGCCACGATCTAGGTCCCCGATAAATGACTATCGTAACTATAACGGTCATAAGGTAACAAAATTCCTTGTCAGGTAAATTTCGACCCACAACAAAAGGTGTAACGATCTGGGGCACTATCTCATAGAGAGGCACCTACGTGGGGATGTGATCTAGAATAAAAACCGTTTATATCCAAAAAAAAAAAAAACACTTGAGATACATGATAGATGGATCATGATAATAGATGCTAGTCAAGTAATAGACAGAAGCGACCAAGATCCTTCTCAAACATAAATCAAAACATGTTTGCCTTACATTAATCACTATCATAAGCACTTTCTTGTTCTTCATAGCTCGATCAAATTGCACAAAATTGTTCACAGGAAGTAGGGGAACTAGATAACTAAAACCTATATAGGCTCGATAGTATTTCTTAGTGGAGATACTACTACATGGATTACTGTCTCTCCAGTGCATCATACAAAATACAGAGAAATTTGAAGGCACGTCGGAAGGGCCACCATCTCTAAAAAGCAAGCCCGCAACATGTTCATAGATATCATATCATGAAGCAGACTGGTTACTGCAACAGAATTGCAACATCCAAGTAATCACCTATCTGCATATGGAAAGACCAAAGTCAAAATCCAATTTTGTGAAACAATAATGGGAAAGTTGCACCACTCGGCCCCAGCTAATTGCATCAGTAGCAAGTTAATCCCCAACCTTCAAACGAAGCAAGATAGTCGAAACCTTTCATCATAGTTGCACATTCAAATTCCTATTAAACTGTTTGGTTTTTGCTCCCCAACAGGGGCTGGTGCCCAAAATTTGAAGCAAAGCTTGTTTCAATTAGAGTTGCATAATAATTTAATGAAGAATTGGGAGATCCCTGTCGTTAGGGATTGGTTGTGCAACTTCAATGAAAGTTCATTAGAGCTCCGTCTAAAATTCCTGAAAATTCATGGAACAACTTGCTGATTTTTAAAGGTTGAGAACCAACTTGCTATTAATATAATAAGGGAGGGACAAATACTGAAATCTTTTCGACAATAATTGTGTTGCCAGGGTGCAGAGGAAATCAGGTTTCACCTGAAAGCTAAGCTCACTCAAGGATTTGCTTCCACTGTCAGGTCGCCTCCCATTGGGGTAAGAAAAGGTTCTTCCCACCTTCATTAACAAAGGAGAATCACCACGGTCAGAACATCAAATATCAATTCATGCCATATTCTTGGTTCATAAGTCGATCACATAGAATGTTTCAATTTCCAAAAGCATCACTGAGCAAAAAGAAAATGATAGGAGGGAGAGAGAAATAGAGAGGCAGAGATGACCTCTCTAACTACAAAACGACCACGTTTATCAGGATAGACAAAAGCAAATGACAGAATAGCATCTCTTCTTCTCGCCTCTGGAGCAACCTCTTTAACCTGGGAAACAAACAACTTGATTTACAAGATCAATATAGAGACAGAGGACAAGAATATGCATATTCATATTGACTAGTCTATAACAATGCAAAAATTACAACTTGATGCACCAAGGCAACAAATCAGGCAGGCTAATAGCAAATACTACTTATATACTTCTTCAATTGTTTTAGGCCCCTGTCGCCTAAGGAGGAAACAACCACTAGCTGCTGCTCTGCAACTTTGACATAATAAGGTTTTAATAAAAACTTCAATGAGATTTCTGCAGAGGTAAATGCTAAATTTATAGACCAAATGATAAATAAATGGTACATGAGTTTATCAGCCAGAAACTTATTTCTCTTTAGAAGAATATGGACACAGAGGCATGCACAAAATAGAAAGGAGTAAAGGCTGATTTCTGAAATAAAGAAATCGAAGAAGATACATTTGCATTTTCCCCTCATACCAGATCAGTTAATTCACGCAAAGTCGCATCCATCCATGTATAAATTTGAACCTCATCCTTGGGTTCCTTGCCCCTCACCGCAAACTCCCCATCAATATGATGGTCTCCAACCTGCAAAATTTTGAATAAGTGGATCAAAAAATGCCTAGATCGGTTTAACGGTAACCATAAAAGGCAGCAACTGATGGTTCATATTGAAACTGATGGTTCATTTATACCTTAGTGAAAACGCGAAGCAACAATGGACAAGTCTGTACAACAACAAGATGAGAAAGAGAGAGAGATGTTATAAAAAAAACTGGTTATGCAATTAAAAAGAACTCTGCATAAGTCCAATCTTGACATATGAATGTGGAAACTTCTACAGTAATTTTGCACAAGCCATGCCAAACAACTAAGTTCAATAAAATTCACAAAGTATAAATGAAAAAAGTGATTGTTTATGCAAAGAAAAGAACTCTTAGAACATTCAACAATGGTTCTGGAAAGTGGAAGAAATAAAATTCCAAAGTATTTTTGAAAAAATGCCAGACAATCATCACAGAAGGTAAATAACAAAAATCATTGGATAAGATGCAAAAGCGAAATGCCAAATGCCAAACATCACACCATAAATAGGTAGTTGATAATCACCATATTTCAACATTATATACCGTGTGACAATTTATTATTGTTCTTGCCATTGTTTTAAAAGAATCCCAATCCAACACAAAAACATAGTCACAACCAGATGATGATATCCACCTTCATCATTATTTCAAGAACCATGAGCAATAGTTCAGTGCATTTGAAACCGTGAAATGTTCCTAAATTGTCAGCACGTGGCTTTATTATTGTGCAGCTTCATTCAGTAATTTCTCTGAATATTAAAAATACATTCAAAACACTTATAAATGAACATATTTTGTATTCCCTGAACCCTAAACCCATTTTCTCAAATTTCCTGAAAATTCTTAATTAGCATCCATTTGGCAGTAATTTATTGTGATAAATATTTAAGAAATACAAAAATCACTCCGATGCTTTACATACACATATACGTACAAGTGTACATGGTCATTCATTAAGGTATGCTAAACCCTAAACTCATGTTGTCAGATTCCCCAACATTCTTGCATAAACATCTATTTGACAGTAATAAATCGTCTAAAAAAATGAAATCGATCAATGCTTTACATACACGCGTTCACACACACACACACACACATATATATAGAGAGAGAGAACCTTCTCCCGGTCGACGGGTTCGAAGCGAGGCCGAGGCTTGGCAGCAGGAGGCGGCGGTGGACCCCTCGCCGACTGAGGCAGCGGCCTTCCCCCTGGTCTTCTTTGTACTTCTGCCATTGCTGGGTTTAGGGTACGCTTATAATTTTGGCCAAAACTTCTATATTTTTGTGGAAATTACAAGATCCATTTTCATAAATCAAGAATTAAGCATCAACATTCTTTAAAAAAATAAAAAATACATTATTAAATAGTGATTTGACATTATTTTAACTATATACACAAACTGAAAATTATTCATTATTTTTTAACCACACATATCATATCAAACAAAAATATGTTCTTACGAAAATAAAGTGGCTCAAACAAGGACTTATTTCTTAATACAGGAATCATGTTTTAATTAATTTTATATATATTCACTATAATCGTTTTTGTTCTTTAAGCTAAAACTGGAGAGAAAATTTTCAAATAAGGGAACAATATTTCAGGAAACCACTTAATCGTATAGCACAATCTTCCACCATCAATCAACCTAAATCAAGACTTAGCCAAATCCCATAAACTCTCTTCATTTAACTCAAGCAAACTTTGAATGATTTGTCCTATTACACACATGATGTCGATGCCAAATTGACAAATAAGCACAATTTCGTATGCAAACCAAGAAGAGAGATTTGTGTGCACAAGGGTTGTGACCCAATCAAGAAGAGCGAAAGTGGTGCATAAGGGTTTGAAAATGCCGAAAACAAAGAGTTGTGATCGAAAATCACAACTCAAAGTCGACGGTCCATCTGCAAGCAACCAACATAACACTAAAAGATCAAAAGTCAGAAAGGGAGTTCACAACAATATCCCCAAAACTCCGACTGACTCGCAAAAACATAAATTGAAGAAAAGTGTTCTTTGTAGTCCTTTAAGCATATGGGTAATTTATTTTTCAATTTGTTGAGTGAGAATGAATAGCATAGTGTTTTATTTGTAGGCAAATATTCAATTGTGATCTACTGTTTCCATTAGTATAATCGGCGTGACCATTATGCTTCCACCTTCCATCTTGATCTACCACCAATACTTGATTACAAATCAACAAATAATTTGTCACAAACACTTAAATAGTTGGCCACAAACTCTTCTTCCCGCCCCATCACCGTTGCACCACCACCATAATTGCCACCAACATTAACTATAACACCACCACTACAAATCATGGCATGGCACCAATGCACACTATCTCTGCACCCAACCACCGCGCACAAACCAAATCCAACATTACTATCACCTCACCATCACAACTGTGCGCTGCGATGTAGCGGTCGATGATGCTGTTTTGCGAGACGACGTTAGAGTGCCGCTTGTGGTATTCCGACGATCACTTTTTGACTTCAGAGACATTTTCTGACGGGAGGAAGAAAATAGTAAAGGAAGAAGCAAAAAAAGAGAGAGGAGAGAATGAGGTAAGACCGTAAAAGAGATGGGAAGTAATTAGGGTTTGAAGTGAAATTTGGCTTGATAGGGTGAGGATGGGGCAAATAGGTCGATTGATTTAATTTAATTATATTATTTATTAATACTAAAAATTTGAATTATTACCTGAATTTTGAATAAAAAACTTTTAAACAAGATTTTTGAATTCAAAAGTAAAGTCCGTGTGGATATAATTTCCACTATCAATAATGTTTCGAGGAATTTGGGCATTTTAGTTTTATTTTTTAAATCAAAGCAGTAGACTCTACCGTATATTTAAAAACTAAAACATAAAAATGAAAAAATTATTATTGAACCAATGTGCCATAGTTTATAGTTTAATCTGTGTCTTCTAGTTTGATTAACGAAAAAGTAAACGCAATATTTTAGTTGACAACAACTAAATCGTCTCATCAAATTTTTATTAGTCAAATTATTAAATATAGACTGAACAATCTGAGCTATCGACTTCAAAAGGTATCTAAAGTGCTGAAATTATAGATTGATATAATTTTCTTTGACCTTTAATTTAAAAATAATGAAAATCTAATTTAATCCAAACAAACAATAAATTGACAATACTGAGTTTAAGATTATGACTGAATTCAAAAGTAAAGTCCGTGTGGATATAATTTCCACTATCAATAATGTTTCGAGGAATTTGGGCATTTTAGTTTTATTTTTAAATCAAAGCAGTAGACTCTACCGTATATTTAAAAACTAAAACATAAAAATGAAAAAATTATCATTGAACCAATGTGTCATAGTTTATAGTTTAATCTGTGTCTTCTAGTTTGATTAACGAAAAAGTTAACGCAATATTTTAGTTGACAACAACTAAATCGTCTCATCAAATATTTCTTAGTCAAATTATTAAATATAGACTGAACAATCTGAGCCATCGACTTCAAAAGGTATCTAAAGTGCTGAAATTATAAATTGATATAATTTTCTTTGACCTTTAATTTAAAAATAATGAAAATCTAATTTAATCCAAACAAACAATAAATTGACAATACTGAGTTTAAGATTATGATGAGAAATCGCTAAAAGCCCAACGATTATTAGCAATTTTAATCCCATTTTTCGTCATTCAGCCAGCTTCATTCTTGTAATAATTCTTTTTAGCAAGGGATCCTATTTTTAGCTGCATACACATTGAACTGATCAAGACGATCAACAAACAACTAAAATGTAGCGTATCGAACATAATAAGAATTGATAATCTCTATAATGATTCTGTTGAGAACCAATATTGCAATTTTCCCGTAATTCTCCCAAACAAAGCTCTTCGAGCCAGGCAATGCAGTTTCTAAAAATTATCTAAACATGTTCTAAAACAGTTTCTTAATCTCATAATTATCAGCTTTCAAGTTTGCAAAGTCATATCGAACGAGTCTTTAAGTATCTAAATGACAACTTGAAATTATGAGATACTCTCATAAGATAAAATTTTTTGGAAGTTCAGCAATATTTAGTACAAGTATTGTTCCAATGCGAAATAAAAATAGAAATTACTTACAAAGATTGTAAAGACATGCATGGTACTGAGTACTGCTTGAGATATCAACTTCACTTCATTTTCCCCCCCTTCCTCTAATACCATCTCGTGCTCAATAACCCATCTTATCAAACAAGCGATCGTTTCTATCGATTCGTAAAAATTTACTTTTTAACATTTGAATCGTCTTATCATTTCTGTAGAGAATTACGCTTATTTCTGGTTTCTGGAGGTCCAATGAACAATTCAGTCTCAACATCTGAAACTTCACTATTCTCTGTACATGCTGCAGTTGCTTTCTCTTCATTTGATCCTTGTGGTGGTTCAAGTCCAAACTAAACCATCAAAACCTCAAATCAATGTCTCAAAATTTTAACAGAACGAATCGATTTATAATAATTACATAATCATATAATAATGAAAACAATAAGAAAGAATGAACTAGAAAATATACACAGAAAATGGTGAGATTCACCTTCTTACACAGCAATGCATTTTCAACTGCTAGGACTTTTCCCTGCATTTGATAAGATGGGAAAGGTTTTGTATGAGCATTTACTGAAGCTGGTAATCTGTTACACGACTCGTGCTCATGTATGCCAACATGCATATGTATACGACAAAATAGTAAACCTTATTCCCAATGAATTTGAAACGAACTACAATTTTTTTCGTACACACTTGAATAGGTCTTCGGGGGAAAAAAAAAAATCTTAATTGACAAACAGCAGATCAACCGTTATTTTGATAAAAGTTTTTGTTAAAATTCGAGGAAATGTGAGGTTGACGGTTGATAAAAGTAAGGGTTCCATGAAATGTGTGATTGAAAAATAGAAGATAAATGGGCTAAGTTTTAGTTTATATTCTGGTATTTCCAAGTTAATTAATCCTAACCCTATTTCATATTTGGCAAAACTGAAAGGGTAAGAACCTTCAGGTGATCATATTTTTCCTTCAGGGAATTTACCTTTTCTTTCAAGTCCTCAATTTGCTGCCTGAAAACTTGCATCTTCAAAAACAAAGAAAATAATCAGATCATTGACGAAATTTATGAAATTGAGCTCTAGGAGAAAATGAATTTACAAAATGGGGGCCAAACAGGGACTTAATGCCATAACAACTCAAAGAGAATGTAAAGTCCATCAAATCGATGTGAAGTCAATATCTTTAAATGGCTTTATAGAGGAAAAAAATTATGTGAAGCAACCCTTCGGTGATGAAAAGGAAGGAGAAGAATACAAGATTTTCCATGGAAGAAAGCATTGTAAAAATTGAAGCAAGCTCCAAGTGACTTGTAAAGTTGACTTGTCTTAAAGAGTGTATTCTCTATGAACATGCAGTCTCGAAGAAGGAAGATGAAGACAATAGTATTTTAAAAATTTGTTGATTGTTCATGTTCTCACTTTCATAACTAACAACAATGTGATGTGCGATAAATTCAAGGCATCAATAATAAAAGAGTTGAGAAAACGGATGTGGATTACATATTAAATGAAACCCACAATTTTTATCAACTTTTCAACCTAACATTTCATCGACTTTTATCAAAATCTAATAATAATATGATTTTTAGCTACACTAAGCACGGGCCATGGGAGGAGTCTTATGCACTAAAGCACAACAAGGCCAAACCTCATGTTTGCAGCACCAAAACAAAACGATTGGTAAGATGGAAAGAAAGTTCTCAAACACGTGTGAGAAAAACTAGATCATGAACTTCTCAACAAGATTAGGATATAACTATGGTTGGTAGGTCATACTGATAGCAATTTGGTTGGTAACGTTATGATCATAAAAACAATTCAGCATTATTACTCTTTTGACTGTAATCTTAACTTGTGATCTAAGTTCAATTATTTAAAGCTTAGCCCAGCATTTGCTAGTTCGTTATTTCGAATTTTCAGTACAAAAATCTCACTTTTTACGACATTACTCATTTTTTACTTTGGAAAAATTAATTTACATTTTTTAATTAAGCTTAGCCAAACATGCTTTTTAGAAAAAAATTTCCCAAGCAATAAGTGTTAAAAATCAGGTTGTACGAACCGTCTAGAGATTTCAAGAAGCTCTATCTTCTTCTTCATACTTGCTGTCTCTTGCTTTAACTGCTGCAGTTCCAAATAAATACAGTGACAAAAACCATTCAAGTTTTGTCTATAGTTAATTAGATTGATAATAAGGTACGTAGCAAAAAACTTGCTATCCTGTAAAAGTATTTGACAAAATTAAATGAAGATAACCTGCATATTTTGTTCATCCGAAGGGTTTTCAGTGTGATTATCTTTAGTATTCCTTTGGTAACGTTCTATTGTCTCCCGTGTGCTGAACAAGTTTCACGTTCAATGAAAATAATCAGCGAACTTTTCTTATTAATAAGCAAAAAAATAAAGACTTCAATGAATTTCTCTGCACCCATTATCCACAGCAAGATCATCATTAGTCGATATGTAAAATTTAATGAAGAAGAAGCATGAAAATGGGATGAAGAAGCAAAAGCTCTAGAAATCGAAGTAGAAAAGAAGTCCAAATGTTGAGCAAGCAACGGCAACTCTTATAATTCTTAAAATTTATCAAGTTCAAATCGTGATGATTAACCACTTTGAAAGATAAAAAAAACTTTCAAGAGATTTTATATTTCTCGTTGACAAAAAACCAATAAAATTGAGAAAACCGCCTAAGATGGAAAGGGAAAAAATGCCAATCAACAGATTGATGCAATCCAAGGAAATAGGACATAACTTTCAAATGATAAGAAGCCTGTTGTGAAATTGGTGTGCAGAAAATATAGAATTCGAAAGAGAAGTTGATGCTAACAAAGCAAGCATAGTTGTAAAAGCATAGAAATCTTAAACAAGAGATTGACTTGGAGGTGTTAGATTGACACAGTCCAATTACTTAGCCCATGTTTTGTTTAGCTAAAAACATATTTTAATAAATTTTGATAAAAATTGATGAAATATGTATTTGAAAAGTAGATAAAAGTTGTAGATCCCATTAAATATATAATTGAAATTGAGCTCTAGGAGAAAATGAATTTACAAAATGGGGGCCAAACAGGGACTTAATGCCATAACAACTCAAAGAGAATGCAAAGTCCATCAAATCGATGTGAAGTCAATATCTTTAAATGGCTTTATAGAGGAAAAAAATTATGTGAAGCAACCCTTCGGTGATGAAAAGGAAGGAGAAGAATACAAGATTTTCCATGGAAGAAAGCATTGTAAAAATTGAAGCAAGCTCCAAGTGACTTGTAAAGTTGACTTGTCTTAAAGAGTGTATTCTCTATGAACATGCAGTCTCGAAGAAGGAAGATGAAGACAATAGTATTTTAAAAATTTGTTGATTGTTCATGTTCTCACTTTCATAACTAACAACAATGTGATGTGCGATAAATTCAAGGCATCAATAATAAAAGAGTTGAGAAAACGGATGTGGATTACATATTAAATGAAACCCACAATTTTTATCAACTTTTCAACCTAACATTTCATCGACTTTTATCAAAATCTAATAATAATATGATTTTTAGCTACACTAAGCACGGGCCATGGGAGGAGTCTTATGCACTAAAGCACAACAAGGCCAAACCTCATGTTTGCAGCACCAAAACAAAACGATTGGTAAGATGGAAAGAAAGTTCTCAAACGCGTGTGAGAAAAACTAGATCATGAACTTCTCAACAAGATTAGGATATAACTATGGTTGGTAGGTCATACTGATAGCAATTTGGTTGGTAACGTTATGATCATAAAAACAATTCAGCATATGCTATTAACATTGGCTCATGGATAGTGTCATCGACATGGAATAAGCAACCTATAATAGCTATCTCAATTATAGAAGTTGATTATATTTTTCGGTCATGGTTGAGAAGGGTATTTAAGGATTTGAAGCGTCCTCAAGAGAAAGAGACTATTTTGTTTTGTGTTAATAACTTAGTAACAACTCCACCTAAGAATACCCATTTTCATGGAAGAAGCAAAGATAAGAATTAAGCTTATTTTCTTAGACATCTGATCAAGAAGGAGAAGTTGTCAAATCCTACAAGTCTCTCAAGTTAGGGACATTTTTACAAAGGATTTTTAGACTGACCGATTTAATAAAAAATTTCCGTGTCCCACTAAGGTGTATGTGTGAAAGTATGATAATAGGAGTAAAACTACTTCTAGATACCGGTTATCTTTTCGTTTTTCAAGTTGAAAATGAAACTGAATGCAAGCTCATTTGAACGGTATTAGTAAGAGTAAATTGAATTGTAGACACTAAGTAGGGATTGATTTGTCATCTTTTATTTTTCAAGTTGAAATGATGGAAGGGATTAGGTTAGAGTAAAATAAATTATAGACAGAGGAAGGGTTCTATCTTTATTCTTTACATTTTTCAAGTTGAAATATATATGGACGGGATTAGACGAGTAAATTGAATTAGTGATGCAGTGAAATAGGAAATAAACAACACGATTAAGAATACATGGTGATCTCAAATCCAATTTTTCTAGTTGGCAACTAATAGACGGGTTTAAATAAGAGTAAACTGAACTCTAAACACCAAAGAGGAGTTCTATCTTTTCGTTTTTCACGTGAAAAAAACGAGAGCAACTACAGAACATATTTGGATGGGATTAAGTCCTTGTTTATTACAACTTAATAAGTTGATAAAGAAAAGGAAATAATAGGGATTTTTTAATGGGATATTCTTTAATTCCTTCACTAAAATAATTTTGAGTTTATATGTGAGTTGGGATCTGCAGCATTAATATAGATGAAAATCGTACCAATATTTTTGCAGAAAAGAATCTTTAGGCATCATATAGGGAGCAGCATGGTCTCTTGAACAAATACAGTTAATTCAAAATCAAGTACAATAATCCAATTGGCTTCCATACTTAATACAGTTCAACTTTAAACTTACTATTCCACATGTTTTTTTAACGTAAGCGTACAAATTTTCTTCTTTAACTTTATTAATAAGCACCAAGGGGAATCATAATAAAGATTTTACGTGTTGCGCTAAAATGAGTCCAAAAAGGAAAGGGTCGATCAAAACTATCATGGTTTGGTAATTTATTAAGGCAAACCGCGAAAAATGAGTATTAATGTACCATTAAAAAAAAAAAAAAAATTAGAATACGACTGGCTGCTGCTGTGGCTAGTGGAATCATAAGCTAAGCATAATCTTATGAGATATGGGGCATGAGATTTCAAGGAGTCCAAATTCAATTATTTCTTATGGATTGAAAAAAAAAAAAAGGGCCAAAAATCACATGAAATGACTCGTATAAGTACACTAAAATAGTTGATTGTTCTCTGTAGTTTTCTTGGAAGTACACTGAGATTCTGAACATAGTAATAAGATTATATCCCATACTTTTGCCTTGTATTAAAAGTCAAACTAAAAGATAGAAGTAGATCTAGCGATCAAAGTGATATAGCAGTGTGTTATAAATATCAACGTAACCGGCTTCAAATTTTCAAATTTACTTCGAACAAAGGGTTAATTAATTAATAACATCATATAAGTTGCTATTATATAAGCAACTATTTTATGTTAATCTTATGATAAGAGGCAGAAACTAACTCTAAGTATGCTAAATACTAATCATTTCCTCCTATTAAACAAAACCCAAAAGAAACCAACAGTAGTACTTCCCTCAATTTTGGTTTAATTAATGGAATCTCAATCAAAATTGTAAAATTTTAATAGGGTTCTTAAGTCAGCAGCAAAATTGTTCATAAGTGGCATAAGGACTTGAATTTATTATCTTAACAAATAGGGAGAAAGCTGGTTCATTTCTGAAGATCTTTGTTCCATGGGAAATTTTTCCGTTTGGTCGTAACCCTAACAGCGAACAACAAAGAAAATTTCATCATGATCAGACAGAAGCCCTACGCGGCATTTTTAGGTGATAAAAACTGTAAGATCTGATTCAGATTAATACTAGTTTGGTCATTTCATAAAACCCACAAAAAATCTGAATCATTAATCCAAGCAGCATGAAAAATAGCATTTTCTTGATAAAAATATAAGTAAATTCAATTACCGAAAACACATAGATCTTACCTTGAACTGGAAAATTCATAGAGCTTGCCTCTGGGAGAAAAGATAATCAGTGCAACCTCAGCATCACAAAGAACTGAAAGCTCAAAAGCTTTTTTCAGCAGCCCATTTCTTCTCTTGGAAAAGGTGACCTGCCTGCTGGTGGCGTTTTCTATACGCCTCATCTGAGTTTTTCCTCTCACCATTCTCACACACCTTGTAAAATCAAGAGAACTATATCAAAAATGATGAACAAAATCAATATCCCTTATTAGATATGCGAGAGTGCACAATTTGTATGCAGTATTAGACTCAACTAAGGGTTGAGGTCTCGAATTCTTTTCTTTCTAGTCGTTCCTACCAGATATGTTGTAAAGGTTTTGATTACACATTGAACTGATCAAGACGATCAACAAACAACTAAAATGTAGCGTATCGAACATAATAAGAATTGATAATCTCTATAATGATTCTGTTGAGAACCAATATTGCAATTTTCCCGTAATTCTCCCAAACAAAGCTCTTCGAGCCAGGCAATGCAGTTTCTAAAAATTATCTAAACATGTTCTAAAACAGTTTCTTAATCTCATAATTATCAGCTTTCAAGTTTGCAAAGTCATATCGAACGAGTCTTTAAGTATCTAAATGACAACTTGAAATTATGAGATACTCTCATAAGATAAAATTTTTTGGAAGTTCAGCAATATTTAGTACAAGTATTGTTCCAATGCGAAATAAAAATAGAAATTACTTACAAAGATTGTAAAGACATGCATGGTACTGAGTACTGCTTGAGATATCAACTTCACTTCATTTTCCCCCCCTTCCTCTAATACCATCTCGTGCTCAATAACCCATCTTATCAAACAAGCGATCGTTTCTATCGATTCGTAAAAATTTACTTTTTAACATTTGAATCGTCTTATCATTTCTGTAGAGAATTACGCTTATTTCTGGTTTCTGGAGGTCCAATGAACAATTCAGTCTCAACATCTGAAACTTCACTATTCTCTGTACATGCTGCAGTTGCTTTCTCTTCATTTGATCCTTGTGGTGGTTCAAGTCCAAACTAAACCATCAAAACCTCAAATCAATGTCTCAAAATTTTAACAGAACGAATCGATTTATAATAATTACATAATCATATAATAATGAAAACAATAAGAAAGAATGAACTAGAAAATATACACAGAAAATGGTGAGATTCACCTTCTTACACAGCAATGCATTTTCAACTGCTAGGACTTTTCCCTGCATTTGATAAGATGGGAAAGGTTTTGTATGAGCATTTACTGAAGCTGGTAATCTGTTACACGACTCGTGCTCATGTATGCCAACATGCATATGTATACGACAAAATAGTAAACCTTATTCCCAATGAATTTGAAACGAACTACAATTTTTTTCGTACACACTTGAATAGGTCTTCGGGGGAAAAAAAAAAATCTTAATTGACAAACAGCAGATCAACCGTTATTTTGATAAAAGTTTTTGTTAAAATTCGAGGAAATGTGAGGTTGACGGTTGATAAAAGTAAGGGTTCCATGAAATGTGTGATTGAAAAATAGAAGATAAATGGGCTAAGTTTTAGTTTATATTCTGGTATTTCCAAGTTAATTAATCCTAACCCTATTTCATATTTGGCAAAACTGAAAGGGTAAGAACCTTCAGGTGATCATATTTTTCCTTCAGGGAATTTACCTTTTCTTTCAAGTCCTCAATTTGCTGCCTGAAAACTTGCATCTTCAAAAACAAAGAAAATAATCAGATCATTGACGAAATTTATTACGAAGATATACTAATCACTTAAATATGCAAAAATACCTTTCTTGCACGAATGATACCGACCGTTCGCTCCAACTGCTGTTCTAGCTGTTGTAGTTCTTGAATAGAACATGATCCCAAACCTTCCCCCAAAAGTCTCCTAATGCATCAATGGTCATTGTTTAGAATTTTTCAACACAGGGTTGCAGTTAAGAATGTTTGGTTAAGCTTAAAAGTTACTCTTAATTAACTTTTTCTTTAAGTTCTTAAAAGTTGCTTCTCAGTATTGTAGGAAATAGATGTGGACTTAGGAGGAGGAAATGATTTTCTTTTTAATTGTGGACATGTCTTCAACTCAAGATTACATAGGTATTTATAGAACTTCCTATCACATAAGTTCATCTCCTCGATTTAATTCTACTACATACACCATACTTTACCAGATACACATTAATTAACAATACATGCATACATGTAACAAGGTGCATATTAATTAATAATACATGTATTTCAAACTCCTAAATTCATTAAACTAAATTAAATATGTTAAATGCATAATTATTTTTCTAACAAGTATAAAATATTACTCTTTTGACTGTAATCTTAACTTGTGATCTAAGTTCAATTATTTAAAGCTTAGCCCAGCATTTGCTAGTTCGTTATTTTGAATTTTCAGTACAAAAATCTCACTTTTTACGACATTACTCATTATTTACTTTGGAAAAATTAATTTACATTTTTTAATTAAGCTTAGCCAAACATGCTTTTTAGAAAAAAATTTCCCAAGCAATAAGTGTTAAAAATCAGGTTGTACGAACCGTCTAGAGATTTCAAGAAGCTCTATCTTCTTCTTCATACTTGCTGTCTCTTGCTTTAACTGCTGCAGTTCCAAATAAATACAGTGACAAAAACCATTCAAGTTTTGTCTATAGTTAATTAGATTGATAATAAGGTACGTAGCAAAAAACTTGCTATCCTGTAAAAGTATTTGACAAAATTAAATGAAGATAACCTGCATATTTTGTTCATCCGAAGGGTTTTCAGTGTGATTATCTTTAGTATTCCTTTGGTAACGTTCTATTGTCTCCCGTGTGCTGAACAAGTTTCACGTTCAATGAAAATAATCAGCGAACTTTTCTTATTAATAAGCAAAAAAATAAAGACTTCAATGAATTTCTCTGCACCCATTATCCACAGCAAGATCATCATTAGTCGATATGTAAAATTTAATGAAGAAGAAGCATGAAAATGGGATGAAGAAGCAAAAGCTCTAGAAATCGAAGTAGAAAAGAAGTCCAAATGTTGAGCAAGCAACGGCAACTCTTATAATTCTTAAAATTTATCAAGTTCAAATCGTGATGATTAACCACTTTGAAAGATAAAAAAAACTTTCAAGAGATTTTATATTTCTCGTTGACAAAAAACCAATAAAATTGAGAAAACCGCCTAAGATGGAAAGGGAAAAAATGCCAATCAACAGATTGATGCAATCCAAGGAAATAGGACATAACTTTCAAATGATAAGAAGCCTGTTGTGAAATTGGTGTGCAGAAAATATAGAATTCGAAAGAGAAGTTGATGCTAACAAAGCAAGCATAGTTGTAAAAGCATAGAAATCTTAAACAAGAGATTGACTTGGAGGTGTTAGATTGAAACAGTCCAATTACTTAGCCCATGTTTTGTTTAGCTAAAAACATATTTTAATAAATTTTGATAAAAATTGATGAAATATGTATTTGAAAAGTAGATAAAAGTTGTAGATCCCATTAAATATATAATTGAAATTGAGCTCTAGGAGAAAATGAATTTACAAAATGGGGGCCAAACAGGGACTTAATGCCATAACAACTCAAAGAGAATGTAAAGTCCATCAAATCGATGTGAAGTCAATATCTTTAAATGGCTTTATAGAGGAAAAAAATTATGTGAAGCAACCCTTCGGTGATGAAAAGGAAGGAGAAGAATACAAGATTTTCCATGGAAGAAAGCATTGTAAAAATTGAAGCAAGCTCCAAGTGACTTGTAAAGTTGACTTGTCTTAAAGAGTGTATTCTCTATGAACATGCAGTCTCGAAGAAGGAAGATGAAGACAATAGTATTTCAAAAATTTGTTGATTGTTCATGTTCTCACTTTCATAACTAACAACAATGTGATGTGCGATAAATTCAAGGCATCAATAATAAAAGAGTTGAGAAAACGGATGTGGATTACATATTAAATGAAACCCACAATTTTTATCAACTTTTCAACCTAACATTTCATCGACTTTTATCAAAATCTAATAATAATATGATTTTTAGCTACACTAAGCACGGGCCATGGGAGGAGTCTTATGCACTAAAGCACAACAAGGCCAAACCTCATGTTTGCAGCACCAAAACAAAACGATTGGTAAGATGGAAAGAAAGTTCTCAAACACGTGTGAGAAAAACTAGATCATGAACTTCTCAACAAGATTAGGATATAACTATGGTTGGTAGGTCATACTGATAGCAATTTGGTTGGTAACGTTATGATCATAAAAACAATTCAGCACATGCTATTAACATTGGCTCATGGATAGTGTCATCGACATGGAATAAGCAACCTATAATAGCTATCTCAATTATAGAAGTTGATTATATTTTTCGGTCATGGTTGAGAAGGGTATTTAAGGATTTGAAGCGTCCTCAAGAGAAAGAGACTATTTTGTTTTGTGTTAATAACTTAGTAACAACTCCACCTAAGAATACCCTTTTTCATGGAAGAAGCAAAGATAAGAATTAAGCTTATTTTCTTAGACATCTGATCAAGAAGGAGAAGTTGTCAAATCCTACAAGTCTCTCAAGTTAGGGACATTTTTACAAAGGATTTTTAGACTGAACGATTTAATAAAAAATTTCCGTGTCCCACTAAGGTGTATGTGTGAAAGTATGATAATAGGAGTAAAACTACTTCTAGATACCGGTTATCTTTTCGTTTTTCAAGTTGAAAATGAAACTGAATGCAAGCTCATTGAAGCGTCCTCAAGAGAAAGAGACTATTTTGTTTTGTGTTAATAACTTAGTAACAACTCCACCTAAGAATACCCTTTTTCATGGAAGAAGCAAAGATAAGAATTAAGCTTATTTTCTTAGACATCTGATCAAGAAGGAGAAGTTGTCAAATCCTACAAGTCTCTCAAGTTAGGGACATTTTTACAAAGGATTTTTAGACTGACCGATTTAATAAAAAATTTCCGTGTCCCACTAAGGTGTATGTGTGAAAGTATGATAATAGGAGTAAAACTACTTCTAGATACCGGTTATCTTTTCGTTTTTCAAGTTGAAAATGAAACTGAATGCAAGCTCATTTGAACGGTATTAGTAAGAGTAAATTGAATTGTAGACACTAAGTAGGGATTGATTTGTCATCTTTTATTTTTCAAGTTGAAATGATGGAAGGGATTAGGTTAGAGTAAAATAAATTATAGACAGAGGAAGGGTTCTATCTTTATTCTTTACATTTTTCAAGTTGAAATATATATGGACGGGATTAGACGAGTAAATTGAATTAGTGATGCAGTGAAATAGGAAATAAACAACACGATTAAGAATACATGGTGATCTTAGTTGATTGTTCTCTGTAGTTTTCTTGGAAGTACACTGAGATTCTGAACATAGTAATAAGATTATATCCCATACTTTTGCCTTGTATTAAAAGTCAAACTAAAAGATAGAAGTAGATCTAGCGATCAAAGTGATATAGCAGTGTGTTATAAATATCAACGTAACCGGCTTCAAATTTTCAAATTTACTTCGAACAAAGGGTTAATTAATTAATAACATCATATAAGTTGCTATTATATAAGCAACTATTTTATGTTAATCTTATGATAAGAGGCAGAAACTAACTCTAAGTATGCTAAATACTAATCATTTCCTCCTATTAAACAAAACCCAAAAGAAACCAACAGTAGTACTTCCCTCAATTTTGGTTTAATTAATGGAATCTCAATCAAAATTGTAAAATTTTAATAGGGTTCTTAAGTCAGCAGCAAAATTGTTCATAAGTGGCATAAGGACTTGAATTTATTATCTTAACAAATAGGGAGAAAGCTGGTTCATTTCTGAAGATCTTTGTTCCATGGGAAATTTTTCCGTTTGGTCGTAACCCTAACAGCGAACAACAAAGAAAATTTCATCATGATCAGACAGAAGCCCTACGCGGCATTTTTAGGTGATAAAAACTGTAAGATCTGATTCAGATTAATACTAGTTTGGTCATTTCATAAAACCCACAAAAAATCTGAATCATTAATCCAAGCAGCATGAAAAATAGCATTTTCTTGATAAAAATATAAGTAAATTCAATTACCGAAAACACATAGATCTTACCTTGAACTGGAAAATTCATAGAGTTTGCCTCTGGGAGAAAAGATAATCAGTGCAACCTCAGCATCACAAAGAACTGAAAGCTCAAAAGCTTTTTTCAGCAGCCCATTTCTTCTCTTGGAAAAGGTGACCTGCCTGCTGGTGGCGTTTTCTATACGCCTCATCTGAGTTTTTCCTCTCACCATTCTCACACACCTTGTAAAATCAAGAGAACTATATCAAAAATGATGAACAAAATCAATATCCCTTATTAGATATGCGAGAGTGCACAATTTGTATGCAGTATTAGACTCGACTAAGGGTTGAGGTCTCGAATTCTTTTCTTTCTAGTCGTTCCTACCAGATATGTTGTAAAGGTTTTGATTGTGAGAAACAAAAGGGAAAAATTGTAGTTCCCAACCTGTGGAGCGAGTTCTTGAAAGATTTGCCAAATTGTGGATATGAAAACGAAAGAAGAAAAAGCAAGACTTTGCAGTGTGGTAAAAAGGGATGCTCTATAAATTTGGAAAAAACTCGGAGAACCTTTTGGTTGGAGATGAGAGGTGCATATGGCCTAAAAATAGCCTAATAGGAAGACCCAAATATGAATTGTGTGAGAGAGAAAGGGAGGAAAAAAAGGAAAAAAAATCAAGGAAATCCCAATAGAAGTTTAACACCAAATGGTGCAAATGTACAAGTGACTGATTGATTCTCAGTCTCATCAGTCTTTATTTTTGGGTTTTACCATCATCATGAGCCAAGGACTCACAGTCTCTCTTTCTCTCTCACACACACTTTTTTTTTCCTTATTCGTAGGTATAATTTCTTGCTTTCGCTTTCTTGGCTAACCCCACCAAGGAAAAGGAAAGAATACATTAATATTTTGGTTGAAAAGCTAATCCTTTTGCTAGTTTTGGTAAAACCCCACAAAACAAACAAAGATGAAAAATTAGAATGTGACATGAAAAGGAAAGATATATATAATAAAAAGAATCCACTGCAACAATAATGTTAGTGAGAGAAACATGCTTATGCCATAAAAATCTTGGTAAAATTTTGAGGTGTCCGTACAAGTTAGATAGATATCAACATCTTAGTACTCGTACTTACCCAAATTGTCCAATGAGAGATCGAAAACTCATAGGGATGTTATGATTTTTTACTTGATTTGTGATGGAACGGACTTGATTAAATGCGGGGCCCGGGGGCGGCTCCATTGTCGTTTGCCATTTCATTGTTGATACTCGTAGCAATGGGTTGCAACTTCTTTCAACTCTGGAATAAATCCAATCAAACACGACCTCTACAGACATGGTGCAATGGCAAAGCAAGAAGGTGTTGGAGTATTAAAGGTTTGAACCTCTACGACAACTAGAAAATAATATTTATATTGAAAGACAACTGTCCTGTAGAAACAAAATTATTATCCATTTTGTCGTCCCTCCAAAAGATCTGTCCGTGTTGAAGAATGACTAGTTAAAGTAACTTGTAGAAACTTGCGGAACTAATAAAATTTAAAAATAAAATTTATCGACTGATCGAGTCTTGTGACAGGACGATATCCTAAAGTAAAATTGTCTGCTGGTAATTGCTATGACTTCCACAAAAAAATCACTTCTACGAATGGTTTCAGAACTCTCTAGTGTAGTCCAAAAAAAGGTGTAAAACTCGAGTATAAAAATTATAGAATATGAAAATTATAATTTCATTTTTTAATGTGAATTTTCCAAAATCAGGTGAGTGTTTACCACGATCAAACAAACTACTTGAAACCTCTGTGGAAAATCACTTTCACGGATGGTTTCATAACTCTCAATTGTATTCCAGAAAAATATGTAAAACTCAAGTATAAAAATTATAGAATATGAAAATTATAATTTCATTTTTTTAATGTTACTTTTCCAAAACCAGATGTGTGTTTATATAGAAAAAATAGATATAACTACCTCCACAATGATCCATAATTATTTGTAGTTTTAATGAGTTATGGATAATGAGTTGTCTAAAAACTATCATATTATACAAACTAGTCTGACCAATCAAATAATTTCAAAAATGATTAAAATAATTAAAGTTGTGTAATAAAAAGTAGACAGTTCTCGAGAGATCGACATCTCGAAATCAAAATATCCACTTTATTATTTGAACGCGACCTGTACACTTTCAAGTTTGCGCGTTCTTAGCGAACATCGACACTTCGGTACACTCTAGGATAGAAACACCAATCCCAACTTTAATTTGTCCAACATGCGTCCGCATCTCCAAAAAATGAAATTATATAAAATAAAAAAAAAGGAACAAAATAAAATTATTATTAAAAGAATTAAAAAAGAAATTGAATAAAAAAATTCAAATTTGGGTCCAAACGGCAACAGCGTCTCCAAAAAAAATATATAAATAAATAAATTTAAATTTTATATATTTCTTCCGTTCTTAACATATATCTACCTCAATCAATGATGTACTATAACCATACATTCATAGATTAAAACAAGGCTGAAGGTTAAGAATCAAAGATCTATTTACCAATTATTAAAATAATGAAATTTAAACCAAAAATAAAATAAAATAAAATAAAAATAACCTTGGATTAAACGCATAGAAGATGATGGTGATGAATAATTGAAGCTGATTTTGTTTTTTAAATGTTCGATTCTTTTGTTGCAACGACCGCAGCACGTGTACATGGTTGGACTTTATAGGGTCGATACAAACAAGACACAGCTCGTAGAGTAGATGGTTCATTTTTTCGGAGTGGGGGATGGGCCCGCCCCATGTGAGGTCTGTGCGTCTTTTCCCATTGATACGCATTAGATTACATTTTTTGCCAATTTTCAGTCTCCTTTTTTGACTCAAGTGGGCTCCACAACTGCGA